CAAACACTTTTTCACACCACTGTATCTCTTGCAGCCATTATAAGGGAATTGGTTTTAATAACATGGCCAAGCAGCTTGTTCGAGTAAGCTATTACACTCAAAGTAAAATGTAGTACCTCCTTCTTATCCTGGTAGTCTATTACATTGCATTTCCTTAATGTTTGCATTTGATATTCTTTACCATTATTTGTTTTCACAACATGGCACATTATTCATAGTATTTTTGTAGTCAAATCAAAATTCAGCAAAGAACACCTGTTCTTTCTCCACACTAATTTACTTTTTAAATCTGGGAAACATTTGGATTAAACCAATGTCTTTTGGCTTTGCAGCTTAGTGTTTCCTGAAAGAACCTTTTACTTGTGTGCTAAAACTGGGGTAGAAGCTGATGAGTGGATCAAGATCCTACGATGGAAACTGGTAAGTACTGCTACAATTAAGCCAAAGGGTAGTTTTTTCAGAAACATGAGGTGCATTTTCAGGAAAATGACAGTTCATATAATGAATATATATGAAGATATCTTTGCAATGAGGATATTCTAAATAAAAAAAACTAATGTATGGTAATATTAAGTATGAAACAAAAAGGCTTTGACATAAAATAACACTGGTTATGGATTTCATAATGACTGTATTAAAACAAAGTCAAATGCCTTGTTTGAGAGTATTGTATTACATTGCACACAGTACAGGAACCCCACCAAAAATCTGAGGTCAATAATGCCAAGCACTATTCAAACATCATTCTGGCTGACTAGGAATCCATCATAAGTGTATTACAAGCATCATTGCGTCAATGTAATTGTTCAGTGTTTGATTTATTGTATTTAAATACAACATATCAAGAAACTGATTCAAAGCAGTTCACAAAGATTTTGCAATCCACAGCATATGGCTTAAAGACAAACTTGCAAACTCTTAAAACATAGATGTTTGGCCACAGATGAAGGTCCTTCAGTTAACTTAAAATATCAATTATCAATAAGTGCCTCAAGGTAAATCTCACCACATGGCATGTCTTCCCCATGATAAAATATCACATGGTAAACCATCTCCCGGCCAGCTAGAGCTTTCTCCTTCTACCCTTTTGAAAGTAAAGTGTTATTAAATTGCTGACAACAGAAACAAAAAAGCACAGATTTACAGAATGTCATGATTTAAGATTCTTGCCTATCAATCAACTCAATCCTCAACATTGTTTTGTATACCAACTTACTTTTCTCACTGATTTTGAAGTGAAGTGTTTAATTTTAAAAAACTGCCATGAGGCAAGTTGTGTCATGTAACACTGGTCATAAGTTCACTATGAGGAGTCCAATTTCTAGAAGTGTCAGTCTTTTATAAAATAAAAAATAAAAAATCAGTATTTTGTTTTAGAAAGTTGTTTATTCCTGCCAAACAGTTTATCAGTATATCTGTCAGAGCAAACCTTTATGGGGATTTTCAGAGTCCTGCTTTTCAACAAGCAAGTGTAACCAAGGGTTGACTAGGTTCCATTGATCACCATTCAGCTACAAGGCGGATCTCTGTTCCCTGTAATTCTCGTCTTATTACAGACAAGAACTGATTAGTACATATGTAGGATACTTCCTGAAACATGAGGAGTTCATGTTCACTATAAAATTCATTCTTTAGTACATGGTCGAGTGTATACCTTTTTAGGCCTGAACTAAAGAAAAAAAAAGAAACAGGAATTATTGATGAGAATTGTTACATTTAAGGGAGGGGGGGGGCGATTAAGGTGTAGAGATGATGTGAAGGGAAACCAATTTTTAAAATGACTTAAAATGAATATTCTTCTGCCATTCTCTATAACTTCCCTCACTTTGAACATGCCATGGTTGCATAAATACAGTATTTCTCTCTAAAAATGCTGTATATGCTCAGTCATATTACAGGAAACAATTACTGCACGGTTACAAAGTCCCCTTATATTCCTCTTCCACACCTCTTCTGCTGTTAGCGTACTTCTTCCTGCACCCGTTAAGTGCAAACATGCATTTCCTGTTGTTATTCCAGATGTGTAGAAAGTGTTTTACAAAACTGTAAAGAAATTTATGGACTCCTATAGATATTACAGATAATTATGAAATGAGCTAATCCACATCTTCACTTATTTAAATATGAATTATCTCATTTTGAAGAAGTTAATACACTATACATTTTTGAGTTCACTGTAACATTATACACATCTTTCATATACAGTATACTGCATGCATATGAATAAATCCCCAAAAGGCTGTCCTTATAAATCCTTTGTATCTACATTTTCAGTTTAACAGAATGTATTTTGTGTAATGGTGGCTGTATATGTAGCAATACACTGAAATACTTCAATGCCTCTTAGTATTTAATATTATTATTAACATTGATTTTATTGGTTAGAAACAAAAAAAGTCATCGTCACGTTATTCACAAAAATAATATTCTTAACTTTTCAGTCACAGATTAAAAAGTACAGATGACCTGATGGAGTGGAAATAATACATCTCTGGCATGAAGATAGAAAAACACTGAAGAAGACTGGACCCTTAATATGTAACATGCTTGTGACTACAAAGATCATATAGGTGTCCTCTAGCAATTTGCTCAAGGTGTACTCATGTCTAATTGCTAACAGTGAAGTGTAATTACATTATCCACACATTGTAATATTTTTATCTCACAAAGAAGTGCACAAAACTTTGCATGATGGGAGTTTCTGATAAAAGAAACAAAATCTTTGAAAATCTGATTTTTGTGAGCTCCTGTATCCCAAATGGAGATTCGATTTTGTTTTAAATTTTTTGAAGTATGAAATTACTTGCAGTCTTGTAAAATTAAAATATAGTACCTTTTTTGAAGAGCATATGCTCATGTTTAAATAAGAAATGTAAAGACTGATTTCCAGCTTCAATAAATAAAAGAACTGAGGTTATGATTTACTTGTATAATATACAGTACATTCCATGAGATAACATCTTTTTTATGACTTTGCTTAATGTTTGAATTTTTAACATGGAGCATGGTGTCTCCACATGCATTACAAAAAAAAAAGTTTTTACATATGTTATACCAAGTACTTGTCAAAGTAGAGAACTGAACAGAGACTCCTCTACTCAGATATTTAATGCCTTGTATGTTTATGTATATATATTTATTTTCTAATTCTTGTGATTGTGCTTGAGTAAACTGGACTATTAAGGTCTCTAAATCTACTGAGCAGGTACTGTCAGACAATTCCTAATGCAAACTACCTTGCAGTGTTCTACCAGTCCCTCAACCCATTCTACAAAGGACCATCAAAATAGCAAAATAGTTTAGTACTGATAAAGTATATTGGGTCCCCCTAAATTTGATGACTGGAGCACAAGCTATTATCTTGTAGAGTCTAGGCTCAGACAAGGTAAGCACCTGATTAGGATGTTAACCCAGGACCCCAAATATGGAATAGCTTGTGAAGTAACAAATTATGCTATCTAAACTCTAGTTTTTTTAAAATACTTGGAAATGAGAGTTAATAATCCAGTGTTATTGTACACACTCTTAAGAAGAAGAAATGCTGTAAAATGCAAAAGCAGGACCTCTCAGGTGCATCTTGTGTATATTTGTCTTGATATTTTATGTAAATGATCTTTGTAACAAAACAATAAATACACACTGTTTTAAAATTATTAGTTGAGGATATTTGAAAGTCTACTTGGTGGTTTTTCGTAATGATTGTATTTTATAATTGTCATTATATATGAATAAGTCCTCCCATTGTCTGTGGAACACACTACCATGAAATTTCGGGCAGTGTTCTTTTAGTCCATCTTAAAACTAGCAGTCAGAATATTTTAGAAATTTAAAAACAATTTTATGTAAATTCAAACCAAGAGATTGCTGTATTTATTTTAAGTGAAACCATGACTGTAATGCTGTAATTGTTTTTTTAGACTGTGAAGAAGAGAGTGCAGTTGTTTCAAAGCTGTGATGTGAGCCCTTGCTTCCAGATATTAAGTATTTTAAAGTGGAAAGCTATAAATGCTGATGAAATACTGTATATTTTACCCACACAGTTTAAGACCATTTACTTTATGTAAAAACTAAATGTATTGGTTATTACTTTGCAGTCATTTGATAAACATCTATGATTTACAAATATGAGATTAAAGTATTTCTACCAACTGACCAATACAGAAGTATGAGACAGCTTTGTAAGAGATTAAAAATACTATTTTTATTTTACAAAAATAGGATATGGCCTGAGAAAGCTTATCTTTACATCTCAATGATTATTTAGAAATTTTGAAAACTCATTAGTAGTACAGGTTTTAATAATTATAAGTGAAGACCAACATACCTAATAATTGTAATTTAGAATTTCTTTTCATCTGGACCTTCTGCATTTTAGGTATTAAAGTACAGAATAAACAATATTTTCTTACACAGGCCTAACTGTTTTCTTACTATTTTAAGTATACTACTGTGTATATATACAGAACATGGATGGTAACATTTTAATACCTTTGTTTTCGCTGATCAGGACCTCTACCACTCACAATTGCAGACTACTTTTTCAAACATTCAATGGATTTTTTTCCATCTCAATCCTTCAGATGTTGCATGGAATGAAAATAAAAAACCTGAAAATTGTAGTATTGCATGTTTTAAAATAAAAAACAGCAGTACAATTGTTTCTTTTCATATTTTTATTTTGATTAATATGACGTTTATAATGTGAATGGGTAAAGTCTCATTAAACTGAAAACAGTATGATATGTCCTCTTATTGGATGTCCAGCAGTACTAGCATTGCACGTGGTTACTTTTATGTAGTGAATCAATTTATCCAATATGTAACCAGAAATAATAGTAATGACAAGCTTTTCAAAATCCAACACTAAACTTTTATAATAAATACATTTATGGAATGGGTATATACAGTGGCTAGCTTAGGAATCAATGAGAAAGTATTGTATAAAACTGAGAAAACTGGTAACAGTTTTATTTTCCCTACAATACTTCGTAATGTAACTAAATTCACTGGTAATGCCAGTATTTGACAATGATTTGATGCTGAACAAAAGTAGGTAAGTGATTGCAGCTGTCTTCCAACTTCCTTTGATGAGTTCAGAAAGCATTCTTAACACTTAATACATCCACCCCTAAGAAACCTCTACAACTTGCCGCAGCTCTTCAAATAAGGGAACAAGATCTTTCTCCAGATTGATAATCAAACCTGAACACAAAAAAACAGATATTCCTTGTTTTAAAACATGCTCTTTTTGATTACTATTCCTTTTTATAGGGTTTCTACCATTCTGGAGTTGGTAATAATTGTTAATTAACAGACTTACAAGCATTGCAATAAGCAATAACTGCGTGCACATGTGTAGTTGCTGTCAGAGTTTTTAACACTACAAATCCACAGCAGAGGTAAGCAGTGGATGGAGAATGGGAGTGCCTGACAAGCTACAGGACCTACTGCTCTACAGCAAGCCAAGGGGTCCCTGACTGACTTCTGACCCAAATAATTGTAGGCCGTGTTTGGCCATTTATAATGTATATGGTGGCCTTTTGAAGGATTCAGGTTGCTGTCAGCTTATATCTAAAACTAAGGCAATCTACCATCTAAGCTTTTGCTGAATTATCTATTTAGACAATTAGTATGGTAGATTATAGAAGAATGTTTTATAAATGGGCTACAAACTCAGAATCTAGAAGGACATACCCGTGTTGGCACTGCTGCTTGCGATAAAGCTGATTACCAGTGGCAATCGATTAAACTGGACAATCTAAAAAGAGGAAAAAAATCACAGGTTAAATGGACAATCTATAATCTTTCTGAAATACCTCATCTTTCAAATTTATTTTTTCCCACAAGTACAAATGATAATGTCATAGTAAAGCTATATTTCTGACTGTTTCACTGAATCTTGTTTTATCTCTTTAAATTGTCACTGTCTTTAAAGTGATTATCTGACATCAGAAAAGATGTTCAGAAAATTCAAAATTTCTATTAAATCATCTGGAATCACATTTACAAAATGAGGGCTCTATAGATGTTTAATCAGTAAATGTATTTCAGAAAGCAGTCTGAGCTGATGAGTCCACTGACTAAAGATGGGGTCAGGGTAGGTCATTATAAGCTGATTGTGAAGGGGTTTTCCCTAACTGTTGCAGACAGCTGGCAAAAGTACTGTATATCCAAATTGAAGAGGAAGGAAAAAAAAGTATCCTCAATTGTGAGGAAATGTCTCTCAATATAACAACATCAAAACAACTTTCAGAAGTACATTATTTGAAAGTCAGTTCCATAAGTCTTTCAGAAAAAAAACATGTCTAAAATAAATGTTATATATAAAAGAAATAATAAATCATAAATCACACTTAAATTGCTATGCCAGTACCAGAATTAGTACTTTTATGTCACTACCCAGTGATGCCACAAATACCCCCTCATATAATTCTTCTTATGTTCATAAGCTTTAATTCAAGAGCTTTTTCTTGAAATTAGGTTTCTTTATCACTGAATAATGAGAGCCTTTAGTGATTATAATGAATATAATGTACTTTGTTATATGTCTGTTTTTGGAGTAATTATTTTTTTATGTCTATGAACTGTTAGCAACATAAACTCCCAACTGGGGATAAAGTGTATCACATCATATTTTATTATACAAAGGGGAGAGAAACATTCTTTTGACCTTATTCAAACCAAAATACTACCAGAAATTGGTATTATTATATCGGGCCTCCATTGCTAGCTCATTTTCCCTTTTCTGCTGACAGATTCTGAAACAAAATACACCACTTAAAATGACCAGGTGATACTACAACTGCTTTAGTAATTTGCCTGTAATGTTTATCTTATGTATATGTTTAAGTCCACTCTGTCCCCTTTTGATATATCAACTTGTATCGGTGAATCAGGTTACAGTCTTCTGCTTTAAGTGCCATCAAAGAAAAAGATCACCAATATCAATATCACCTGGTATGTGTTATAGTAGCAGATGATGCTCTTGTTTTTGGAAAGTCCCAACTTGCTGCCTTGGTCAGTTGCCAATGCAAATGTGGACAGAAACCCCGGTCTGAGAGCATATTCAGGAGCATTGTCATTTGCAACTGTGAAAAGAAAATCACAACTGTCAAAATCTATCAAATACCAGTAAGAATGCTGTCAGATGTGGCATTGGTCCTAATTATTTATTACTCTGTACAACAATTTTTAAATATGCATTTCCACACATGCAACATCAAACTAAAGCATTTTTTAAATGTATCAAATCATATTTAATCATTATTCTGAATTAATTTTGCTCAATTATTTGAAAGCATGAAGTATACCTTATACACACACTATAAGTATCATACAACTAGCACATTTATACACCCCAAACTACACTGTAAGAATACATAAAGAAAACAGGATAAAAAAATCACATACTTTTCAATGTGATTTAAATTCTTAGGCAGCTAAAAAATCATTTACAATTCTTTACATATTCACACATTATTAGTTACTTAACTTTGCACTTGATTATTAATTGAACAAGAATTGTGTGAAGCTCACATACTATGCAAAATTGTTATATGTAAATCTGTGACTCAGACATGAGGTTATGCATATTTAATACAGCTGAAATGTCAATTTCATTAAGATTTTGGCTGCATTTTTAATACAAACATGACAGAGCACACTGAATATCTGAAATGCATGTGATTAACTATCTGCACTGTAAAATAGGTGAATCTTAAATGTTTACGAAAATTACAAATTAGTGTAGAATGGTCTCTAAGAAGAACAAAATCATCAGTATTACATTTCATTGACTTCTGTGATGAACTACTTAATTTTTAAGAAAATACATTATGACTGTACTCATTAATGTTCTATATCATGATAAGGGCAGAGAGAACATTTGACCTGAAGTAATAACATGCTTAATGCAATATGCGGCAATACAGGAGTGAATTAAATCTGAAATGAACAAATGATTACCACTAATAATAGTAATCCATCACCTACTTCATTTAAGATAATAAGGCAGCTTTATACATTTCTAGCTTTTTTCTTTCTTCATTCTATAAATGTACCTTTTATTACTGGTACTCCATCTCTGTCAGTCACTACAATTGCATGAAGGCCTTCAACGCTGTTTAAAAAAAATAGAATTTTAGAAGACAGAATACAAATACATTTAACAAAAGGATGTTTTCTAGACTAATCTGCAGCTACAGGCTAGGCATTTCAACTATTTGTCTTTATTCATGAGGAAGAAAGGGATACACAGAAAAAAAAACCTTTCAAAGGATACTAACAATTAAACGGAACAAAGACCTATCAGAGGTTTTCTTCCTTTTTCTGGTGGAGAAGTAGAGAGGGGTGCATGATCAGCAACTCTGCCCTGAAATGGTTATATAAACCAATCAATATACAGTGATAATACCTTTACGAATCAGAATCCCCAAATAATTCTAGAGCTGGTTGTCAGATGCAAATTTACATAATGGAGGGCAATTTTAAATGATTTATAAAGGTCTCAACTAAACCAGCATTGTTACCTGCAGTTACCCTTTTAATAATAATAATAATAATAATAATAATAATAATAATAATTGCTTACACACTTATTTAGTGCTTTCCTGGAAACTCCACTCAGGGCGCTTTACAAGTACAGGTAACTACCACCAATGTGCAGCATCCACCTGCAACGGCAGCCATAGACTGCGGCACAGTATGCTCACCACACACCCGCTCTCAGTAGGGAGGAGAACAGATTGATGAACCCAATTCATAGATTGGGATTATTAGGAGGCCATGATTGGTAAAGGCCAATGGGGAAATCTGGATGCTGGGGTAACACCCCTACTTTTTTCAAGAATTGCCTTAAGATTTTTAATGACCACAGAGAGTCAGGACCCTGGTTTTACGTCACAACTGAAGGATGGAGCCCTTTTTAAAGTATAGTGTCCCCATCACTCTACTGGGGCATTAGGACCCACACAAACTGCAGGGAGAGCACCTCCTACTGTTTTTCCCACAAGGTCTCTCATCTAGGAACTGACCAGGCTCAAACCTGCTTAGCTTTAGTGGGTTGTCAGTTGTGAGCTGCAGGATGATATATGGCCACCGATGTAAGCTTTTGACCTAAACCATTTAAGCGGGAACAATAGAACTATAGACTTGACTTGAAATCATATGTAACATCTTGGAAAACTTTAGCAACATATATCAAAGTAGAATTTTGCCATAAAGCACAAGGATCAGGAGCAAAGGTTGAATCATTTTGTTCATAAGGAATTAACTTCAATATCAAACTACTTGTAGGCCATTAATTAAAAACTCTGTTTTCTGATTCCTGGAGGAATCGAAAATGTTAGTGTAATTTAACATGGAAGGGGAAGTGCTGTTTTCATATAGGCCAAAGTTTAAATGCCAGAACTTTATAATTAATTTTGGCACAGTTTTACCTTTTTATAGGGAAACGTCATAAACCATGAGCTATTTTTTTAGTGTTTTTGTCAAGGCAATTTTCTGTTGTCATAGATATTTTCCAGGAGGTTTTGACACCCAAGTATTTACTTCTCTTTCACATTGGGAAACACTCTCCAACCTATTATCTATTACCTCTAAAGGAAACTGATATTTTAGTGCTTGATTCATGGCAAAAGGGGGGGGGGGTGAAACAATCCTTTGTTTGTCTGTAGTAACAGATAACTAAAGTCCAGTCCACAAAAACAAAATGTCTAAAAAAGGTGTAAACATTTTAAAAACATGTTGCAGTTCACTTTGCTTAACCATGATTAAGCAATAAAGTACGGCAGGGTCTAGATACTTCTGAATATAACATTTGCAATTTCACTTCTTCACAGTTTGGTCTGGGGGTAGAGTTCTTGTAACGAAAGAAGAGAACTGAGGCGGAGGTTATTAAGCACAACTTTCAAACTAGTTGCAAAACAGACAAGGATTGTGAGAGTGTTTCTCTTCCCCCTGCCCAAGTACCCACTACCCAACATCCACATCTCACCTTGTTTTTTTATAGTAACATCTTGGTAATATTTTATTAAGTATATCTTGGTTGAATTTATGGTGTGGGGAATGACAGGCTGGAGATGACCTTACAGGCTCACTGAGAGCTGCCTTTTTCATTACAGTGGGTCATCAATCAAGCAGAGAGAAAAAAGTGCAGGTATCTGCTGAACATAGAGGAGAAATTAAGCTAACTGATCTCTACAATTTTTGTGATTACAATTGTGTTAGTTATTTTAATTAACTTAACGCTACTGCATTAGTACTTTAATCATCATATAAGGGGAGGGATAACACATGTCTGTTAACCATACATACTATATGCAATAGTGCACTATATAACAGTATAAAGGTGGTCTTGCTTATATGGCAATTCTGCTATTTTCTCTGCGCCAAACCCTCACAAATATTGAGACCCTACTGCATAGAAAATGCACCTAACATTTATGTTGTACCACTCTTTCATCACTAGTGATTCTTAAATATCTTTTAGATATATCTTAAATATAGATTTCTCTATAGCAAAAAACAAATTAAAGTTTTCAAACCTTGGCAACTGCTTATACAGATACCTCTTCAGCTCCTGTGAAAAACAATCAGATATAGCTGTTGGAGGGATCTGCTGTTTACTAGTGCATTCCCATTATGAGAAGGTTTGTGGTTACAGACAGCACTTTTATACCCTTCACACAATGTAACAAAGCTGGTTTAAAAATACTGAAAGGGTACATTCCATATACATAAATAAATGAAAATATGAACACTTGTTAAAGATGATGGCCAGAAATGTAATATTGCATTGCTTTGTGGTCACCTGGAAGTGTCTCAAAGCTGAAATGTGGAAAGAGATTCTAGAAGTGATCTTGATGAAGTCTGAGTAATACAGCAATTTCTTCCTTTCATTTGAGTAATTTTTTATCCCAAAGTTTTCTACATATAGATAAGCACCTGTTTGAATTACCACTGAAGTGCAATACCCACAGTGCTTCACAATGAAAATTACATTGTTCTTATGGAGTATTGGAGAAATGGAGAATACTGGGGCATTAGAACAGGATTTGGAAAAAAAAGGGAAGAGTGCCACCTACTGTTTCTACCAACAACACCAACTTACAACAGCAACCTGAATTTCTCTGGACATCACCCTTAACAGCACTGACCTGCTTAGCTTCTGAAATCTGATAAGATCAAGACATAATGTTGTAATTCTTCTGTCTAAAAATAAAAACTGTAAATGAACTTTTCACCTATTTACTGAAGAGCTCCCAAATCACACCTCCTTATCTAGTGTTAATCCCGCTTTTGATTGACCAACACGACCTCCATATGACTAGACAGCAGAATATTTATGAAATGTACTACAGAATGTACTACATAAAGCATTTTGCTAGAGCAGGAAGCATAATTTGGGGGAGATGGAGAAGTTCTGCATGGAAGAACAGTAAGAAATCTAACTTAAATATTGTCAGAACAAATTAAAAGGTTACAGGAAGTGATTTTTTATTATTATCAGCACCAAAGGCAAATGAAAGAAATATTAATTGCTGTAGGGTGAATAGTTTTTAATATTGTATATTTAGGACAATTTGCAATGATTTTAGAAATATTTGTTTTTGCTGTATTTCAAACTGTCCTAATATGTGTTATATTTTAAACCCAACTTAAGTTACACAGTAATTGTTCAGGCTACAATTTGTATACAACTGTATGCACTTACAGTTCCTACACCCAAAGTTAGGAACTGCATGAAAAACATAATGATAAGATTCATGCAACAGTGGAAATTGAAAATATGTATCCATTAGTATCAGATTTGTTTTCCAACATTCACTGGTAACGGTTTGTCTTCTCTCAATTAACATCCTGCAGCAACGGAAAAAAAAAAGATCTGCAGTTTGCTAACATTAACATACAACATTTTTTAGACAATTTATACAGTAAATACTTACATCTGCCATTTTCTGTGTTTTTATTAGAAGTTAAAAACCTAGAAAGTAAAACAACTAAAATCAGATGTTGTGATGAAAGGACAAGAGCAAGGACTGGAAAGTGTCATACTTTTTTCAAGAAATGTTTGTAACTCCAGTTTTTTTGTATGAAACTCTGTTTTATTAAAGGAAATGTATAAAACTGTAAATGTATTAAACTGCAAATCTAAATAACAGTAATCTACATCTCTTAATGTTTCAAATGTGATAGTTTAGTTACATTTGACACCAACATCAAATTTAACACTCGTTCAAACTAAATCGTCTTTCAGCAAATAATATAATTTTTAGACGGAAGTGTGAATGTTTCTGATACTGTAGATTAAAACAACTTAATTGCCACTAGTTCCAGTGGCCAGAATAAATAAGACTATATATTATATTTATTGGGAATACCTCTGTCAAATAAGTATTATTTTAAAATAAAAATATTATAATTTATGAGTAGTAAATTAATGTCTGATATTATTGGAGAAGGAGGTAGAAAATATTTAGGGCTTCAGAATGGACCGAACGAAAAAATAGATAGCACTTCTCCTTCTAATGTCAAAGACAACGAGCATTAACATTTACGTTTAATTATTATTAATTATGTATAATGTTAATTAAACGTACACTTAATTAATAAAGAAATAGGAATAAACGTTTTATCAAAATCAGTGTCAAGATAAATGTATAGGATAATTTAGAGGCACTATATGTCACCTTTTTTAGCTAGATGACCTATCTCCTACTTTTAATTTCTACTACAAATTAATTTCAAACTGAGACCTCAGCGGCTGAACCAAATAAAAAGGAAACGAAAAGACAATGTGTCTATGATTCCTTTTAAAAAAGAAAAAAAAATACGATAACCTGTTCAAAGGCAGAATACTCTAATTGGACTTATAATGCAAAATAAGACGATATTACCTGCTTCTGCTAGATTTTTACGGAAGGTTTGTAGAAAATGAAATAAATCACATGATATTTACACAGAAACGGAAGTATTTTAACAATTGACCTTTCAACAATTGACAGCTTCCGCTGTCACAAACGTAAAGAGTTTCCTATCGTACCGTGCCTCCCCATAAATGTGAGCATTCTTGTTTTAGTTTTTTCTACATTTATAAAGTATACTGAATTAAATAAAATGGGAATTTTACAGTACACCTCACATATAAAAACAAAAGAAACAGGAAACATGGTTATAAAGGTCTCAACTAAACCAGCATTGTTACCTGCAGTTACCCTTTTAATAATAATAATAATAATAATAATAATAATAATAATAATAATAATAATTGCTTACACACTTATTTAGTGCTTTCCTGGAAACTCCACTCAGGGCGCTTTACAAGTAGCGGTACAGCAAATCACAGAGATCATTAGAAGTGAAATACTTATGAGTTACATGAAAAGAACATCTAGTTTATAACTAAAGATAAACAACTGAGGATTAAGGTTTTGACAAATACGCTGTAATGATTCCAGTATCTGTGACTATGAGCTTGATCATCAAAATAGGATTTCCTGATTATTTGCATTACAAGCATTTTACGACAGTGTGAATCCTTGTGGTTACAACTGACTTACGGTAAAGGCCACGTGTGGTTGTAGGAAATCAGCGCGGCGTGGTGGTGTAAAGAACATATTGGGCATTTTGGGAGCAGGCGGTATTTCAGATAAAGGTGAGGTAAATAAATGTTTTTTTTTAAGATGTGCTTATGATTTTTTATTGGGTCATGCTTTATAGTCTAGTTAAAGTCCAGGAAGTTTTCCAAACTATTTTATGAGTCAGTTTGCTTTGGGGAGTACCTAAAACTGAACAGTTTGGTTATAGTTTAATTACTTCACAATTCATACCTACGTTAATTTCTACATAAATAATTGTATGCTTTGGTTCAATCACATATTAAGAGTTAATCGGCATTTTTGTCTTCATCACTTCCCCCTAAATTAAAGGAGATATTTATGCATGGTTTCAAAGTGAACGTCGTGAAAAAAGTAATGTCGATTAATTTCAATGAGCAACGCACTTCAGTTCAGTGTGGCATAATAAAGTGGCTCCATCTTATTCATTACCATTTTGGAACATGTGCTTTGTCCACTGAAAGCTAAAGTGTAAGTTTTGTTGCGATCTCACCCGATTCTAATTTTTTTCCCCCGCGAATCCAAAATTCATGCGAAGCATGAACAGTAGTTGAGCTAAAAGGGAGTAGTACTGTTTTCTTTCATTTATGTATTATTAAGTGAAAGTCAATTCTGGTACTAGTACCCATTTATATAAAAAAAAACTGCAGTCAGGATATGAGGTTGTTACAAAAAGCTGGTCAAACTGTGTCAGATTAATCATTTCAATGAAGTTTCAATTTGCCGAGCAAGCTAGTATCAGACGGGTTTTTTTTTTGTATCTTATTCTGTTGTAATTTGTTTTTACCCAAAATGCTGTCTTATCAGCCCACTTTCTCAATGACACATCATAATATGAATTAATGTTATACTTTTTATACTAATTAAGAATATTATTAATACTCTTATGCATCATACCCTAATCTGGTGGAGTATAGCTGTAGGTTTTTAAAATTTAATTAACCGTTTTTGTTTTCGATAGTGTTAGAAGACGTTCCCACAAGGGACTTTAGAAAAGAAAGATTCACATAATTGTGGAATTGGTGATTGAGCACTTCCAGGGGAGGATTAGTATTAATTGATCAACTCGGTCTCGGTTTTCAAGCAGAAAGTAACTCCTTGATTTTAATGAGTTTTAACTCTTCGGTAGGATAAGGCAGACCACATTGCGTCAGATTGCTCTGCAGAGAGACAGGTTTTAGGGAAGTTTGTCTCATTCCTAGTTATTCACAATTGGTAGTTCTCAATTGGAAATTGAGGTAAAATATGCTTTTACCTGGTGAAGCATTTAATTGTTGGAGTAACGTTTAAGAGCCAAGATGGTCAACCAAGGTGGGATCACGAAATCTAGGTCACACATTCTAAAAAAACACAAAACTCTTTTAACTTAATGGAACACTGCATTTTGCAGTCGACGTTTAGGAGGCCAGGGCTTAAATTTCACTTTAATTTTTTTTTTCTTGTGCAAAACAGGAGGATCAGAAATGTTTTGTGAGTTGCTCAAATGGCAGTAAATGGGTCTGTTTAGTATAGTAATGTAAGTAAATGATCTAAGTGCCCGAATGTCATAAATAATATAATAAATGTCTTGTCATGCTTTGAATAAATAAAAAATGATGCTCTGATGAATAATTATAACACTTATGTATCATGTCGATGTTGCTGTATGCAAATGTGAGACTGTACGGTTTTGATTGTAGCTTTTGTTCCTTAACTACTGATGTATCCTTCAATACTACAGAAACCAGGATACATCCCAGCTCTTTGGACGTCTGCTGTTTATATTTGAGCAAAATATGTTTTTTTGTGTTGCAGATACAACACTGACCAAAAGGCCAGTGGGAGAAAGTCCTTACTCCTCATGAACTGTTGTCTGTTTTCTTCTAGCAATGTCTTTCCGTGGAGGAGGTGGCCGAGGCGGCAGAGGAGGGGGGTTTAATCGAGGTGGACGAGGAGGTTTTGGGGGCCGGGGCGGTGGGGGAGGATTTCGAGGTGGTGGCCGAGGAGGCTTCAACAGACAAGATTTTGGACCTCCAGAATATGTTGTTGGTAAAGAAACTTTATCGTTGACTGTAGACCTAAATATTATTCTGTGTAGGGTTTACTGAGATGTACACAGTCGCTGTTTATTATTTTGAAGATAACTAGCAAAATAATTAATTTGGCAGACCCGGTTGTAGAAATGTAAATATTACATGTTAAGAGATTGAGTTACAAAATGAAGGAATGTCACCTTTTATAAAAATCTTTATGAATTAGGTGCTTTCTTTTAAAAAGGTATTTGCTTGGTTGGGAACAAAAAAATACAGTTACACTTAGCTTTGACATTATATGAAATATGAAGACCGCTGGTCTTACAAAAGGATGAAGTATTTCTTCCATATATTATCGTTTCTTATAACATTTAGAACTGAAGTCTATGTGGACCATTTTAAAACCAGTCAAAAAAAGTAATATAACACACCACTTGGGTACATTATATCAACTCTGTTATGGTACATCGAAGAACACAATGCATATTGTCAATATTTGCTTTGTCAAAATGTCTTGTAGACGTGTTTTAAGGGCATTGCTATCTTAATTTCTTTTCTGGTTTAATTTAAGTATGCAGCTGTGAACCATAGGAATTCGTAGGATTAAATTAGAAAAGAAAAAGCTATTTTTTTGCGGAATCATGATTGAGTTTTTGCAGTTGGCTTTTTTGAGCAGCACTTCCTTCCCAACCACAGTATATTTTTTATTATACAGATAAAACTGCCCTGATAATTTCAGAGTTGCCACATGGCTTATGGACAACCATGCTACTTATTTTAAGCTTGTCCTGTAGCTCTTATAAAAAAATACTATTTACTGTCATAAGTGGCATGCTTTTATGCATGCTTCTTTTGGTTTAACATAGCTCTAGTTCTTTATAGTAGCATCCCAGTCTTCCAGGATACCTCATTATTTTAATTAGTTCATTTTAATATTTTCACAGGTCATACTCAGTTGACGTAAAGAAATAACTATGTTCTTAAAGCAGTTGCACAGGTGACTTATTTAATATGATCTTACAGGCATCTTTTTAGAAAAAGGTTGAAGGTGCCTGATGTGTTGTGTTGTATTTTAAAGAACTGGTTTGTTTAAAGGTGACAAGTTTGCAAGGTTAATATAAAAAAAAAACAGTTAGGTCCCAGAAAATAATTCAAAAGTACAATACTCAAAAAGTGTTAGTAATGTTAAAAACATATTTGATATTTTTACAATATTTTAAAAACATATCAGCTATATTACAGGTTTTATTGGCAGTTAGAACAATCAACTACATACTAATTATAAAGTTTTTATAAATTATAAAGAGACTAATTATAAAGTTTTTTTCATTTGTTGTTGCATTGTTGTTTAATGAATCAGTGATCCATCAAGGCTAACATTTCTCTAATTAATCCCTGCAGCACTTGGTGAGTTTATGCATCCCTGTGAAGATGAAATTGTATGCAAGTGTACCACTGAAGAAAACAAAGTTCCTTACTTCAACGCTCCAGTTTATTTGGAGAACAAAGAACAGATTGGGAAGGTGGATGAAATCTTCGGACAGCTCCGGGATTTTGTATCCTTTGCAGTCCCCTAGACCTGAAAAACCTGTTTATTATTGTCATATACATAATTTTTCCACACATAAACACATATTGGCAGTTTTTGTGGTCCTGGACATGTTTACCTAAAATAAAGTATCCCAGTAGTCATGCTACTCACAGGTTTGTGAAATTCCTGAGTTTCTCACCCTAGTAGTATGATTATGGATGGCTTATAGTTACAATGATGTTGGTTAGAGTATGTGTGTTTTTGATAGCAGGTTAAGCTGCAGGAGTGAAATATGTGTGCATACCTGTGAAATGGATTTAATGACAAAAAACTCTTAGGTCCCAGTAACTAATTGACAGGTAACTATAGGCACATAGCCCAGGGTCCTGGTGGAATGTTATAAGTTCTTGGTGTTGTGGCTGGCATTTCATTATTTCTTCAATGGATATAATGGACTAAGAGGGATTGTGTAGTGTAGTGCACTTTTAGGGTTAATGTTTAAGTAAACAAAGCATTAGCATCTTTACAATGCTTCTATATTCCCTGTTGCCAGATATAAACCTACAGATCTGGTGTTATTAGGACAAGGATTTAGGCCTTTGCTGGTCATCAGTACTACATCTATATGCTACTGAAATCATGAATGAAATGATCAGTAAATATTCAGTAACCTTGTGCGAAAAAGTAAGTGTATCCCATGATTCGGTAACATGAGGAGCCCTCTTTATCAGCTATAACTTAAAAAAAAGTTTCCTTTAAGTGCATCAGTCTGAAAATCAATATTGACTGATTTTGTTTTTGTTTAATCAGTAATGACTTAAGTTTTTGTGTGTCATTTGTCGCATACGGTTAGATCTGCTTTTTTATCTATTTCTAGGATTTGGTGAGGACTAGGTAGAGATCATATATATAAATATGTTAAACCATAGAATCTTAAGAGGGTATACTTTTTCACATCATTGTATCAAAGGCAATTTATGTATATAAAGAAAAGTTTGATTCACTGCATTATATAAGCAATGTTTCCTCTAAGCATGTGTTTATGTGCACGCAGGTTATGAAATCAGCGCACATAGGAAATTGAACTTTGCACAAAAAATTACCCCAAAAATATGATGATGATAATAATGCATACATGGTCATCAATTGAAGAATGCAAAATTGACCACATGGGACTGGCTGCGAGATGCCCTACTTGGTTGTGTGCATTATTACTGCTACTCTATAATCGATATCTATGCTCTCGTAGTCTTGTACCTAACAGCTCATGCTCGTTCAACACTCAGTCTCTATGACTGGGTTCATTGAACCGCTGTCCTGGTCTTTTGGATCTCAATGCTTCTATGAGAATTACTATATTAACAAAAAATAATTTCAGGTTTATAATTTTACATACACTCAATTTAGTGCGCACAAGTTTTTGTCACTGGCACAACTCGAAAGTTTTACAGGCCATTAAAAATTAGAGGGAACCTTATATATAAGTATAATTTACTTCTAAAAAAGTCCGTCCTTAATTCCTAAAGTCCTTAATTCAAATTACAGTATTTTTCAGTTAAACTCTCAGAAAATATGAAGGCCTCATCATTCAAGAAGTTACAGAAGGTATGGAACAGAGAAACGCATTACATTAAACAATTGCTTTAAATTTGTTTACCTTAAATATGCATCAAAACTGATACGTTAGGCACTTTGTCCAACTACAGTTAAACAGATGTTATAAATAAAAAAATTAAGCTCATGAGAGTTTAACATTCCAAGTCATATATAGACAATAAAATTTCAATTTCAGGTTTTGAGCCTAGATAGCATTGCTTGAGTTCAGATCATTAAAGGCTAATTTTTCTTGTCAGAATTAAGAAAATCCTGTTAGACTGAAACAGTTATATTTTTTGTGACCTTTCAACACTGCGTCAAAGTGCCAAACGTTGTTTGTAACTAGAATTGTCGATCTTTCTCATGATGATTTTGTATTAAATAATACAATAATTGTTTTATTCATGTGATTGGAATTAAGAGAATATATGGAAATTAAGCTAAAGCCACTGGTGTCTTCTAGTAGTGACACTGCTCTGTATACAGTTTCAAATTCACTTCAGTTTCTCTGGAAACTTATAAATTATAGTAAAACTGTATCCTTAAGCATCTTTTGAGGAAGTGATAGAATATGAAAACTAATTTGGAAATGTAATGTACAGTGCCTTGCGAAAGTATTCGGCCCCCTTGAACTTTTCAACCTTTTGCCACATTTCAGGCTTCAAACATAAAGATATAAA